AGAAGGGAGAAAAAGAAACCAACGAAAGGGACAGGACTTGGCTTAGGGAGGGTTGTGGTTCTTCTCCCTTGTAATGCCTCATAGCCCTGAAATGAAACTAACCACCCCTTCAGCACCCTGTCTCTGGCAGGGGCAACCACGGCAGGGCGTTTCTCACCTGGCCAAGATGGAGCGCTCCGAGCCGTCAGACAGAAGACGGTGCATCTCCTGGACGATGACTCCGAGCTGCGCCGCAAGCTGCTTCTGCTTGGCCTGCAGGGGGAGCTGCTGCACGCAGAGCATCTCGCACTCACTCCAGCCTTCCTGCCGGCGGAAGAGATGAGGAAGGGAAGACTGAGCCGCAGGTGAGGGGCCACCACCAAGAAACCAGCATGCTCACACAACCTGGACTCTTTACCCTTCTGTTGGGCAACGGCTGAGCACTCACCTGTATGAGTCCCTGGACAGAAGGCAGGTCGTCCGCCGCATCCGAGACGTCTTCCAGGTGGGCGCTGGCATAGCGGAACCTGGGCACGGGACAGAATGGGCAGACCTGAAGACCCCGGCAGGCATCCGTAACAATTCCCGCTGAGGGAAAAGGGTAGGAACGCTGCCTCCCTCCACCCCAGGGCGGGACCAACTTGAGTGCTTCCACGTCACGAGGGATGTCGATGCCGTCGGTGAGTTCCTGCAGCTGGTGGGTGTTCTGGAGGGCCAGGTGCTCCAGGGCCGAGAGGATGTGGGCAGGCGGGTGGGAACCGGCGATCTTCTGCAGAAGGGAGACACGGAATTATGGGATATGGCAGGGCTCTACAACGTGGTGCCCGTGGGCACCATGCTGCCTGCCAACATCTTCCCTGGTGCGAGCAGCGGCTAGGAAGGTTCCCCGAATGGCTGCCACCACTCAGGTAGGGGTGTCCTCGGGAGGGCCCAGAGCACCCACACGACCCCTTTATACACCCCTTTTCCGGCAGGTGTCCCCTTATAAGAGGCTGAATGAGGCGTGAGGACCCAGGCAGAGTAACAGACTATTTTTATGAAAGAGATTTAACAACTGTAATTCAATAACATGCTGGAAAATGAGCACAGTAAAGACAGTTAACAGCAAAATAAGAACCCTTAAGTCTGAATACACTGCACCTAGCCTTCTCTACGTCTTTGGCCTCAAGCTGACTCAACCCCTTTGGATGAGGGATCCCTCCATCTGCAGCAGCTTCACACCAGCTCTGCTTCCTCGGAATGAACCACCTCCCATTTTGGGCAAAGCCTTTTCTCTCTTCTTCCCTTTCTCTTAAGAGTCTAATGGTGTAAGATTTTCCCTCCAAATCCCGTTAGCCAATTACAGGGTCCAAAGGGGACCTTGGAAATGTAGGCCCTGATAGCTACTCTAGTATAGGCTTCCCTGGAGCCACTAGGCCGCACAACTATAGGCCTATGAGCATGCCATGTCCACCAACTGGTTTTAGAACCTGGGCCTGGCCAAGAAGGGCTTCAGCTTCCGATTGGCTGTGCAG